TCGTTAAAAAATCAGATCTTGATCACCAGAGAGTAGCATTTCGCGTTCTAGATACAAGAATAACTATTTTGAACAGCAACATTTTTTTAACGGTTTAGGACAATCACATTCTTTTGACGTGCCTTGCATCATTGATGCAGGCTTAGTTGAAAAAATACATCAACTACATATGCTCGAAGATTCATACCGAACCTTCCTTTTTCAAAATCATGCGATATATTATATATTCAATTCTTATTCGTTAATGGTTGAGCATTTCATTCCGTATTTTCGTCTTTCTTCAACAGAGAGAGCTGCCAATTGACGTGACAGTAAAACTAAATTTTTTCAACTGTGCTCGAATCGAAAAAAAAAAAGAAGAAGCCCGAAGTTGCAGTACCTATACTCTTAGATTTTTTGGAATCTCCCGCAAAGACTGACGAAATTCACCGAGCAAGAATTGCAGTACATTTCACTACAATTTCTCAATAAATTCACAGATCCTCGTGGAATATTAGCGGTGTGGCACAATTTTCCCCTAGAATATTGATCCAACTTTAACCTAAACATCAAGCTGCTTTGTACATTATAATCGCCCCGATCGGCAGATACACTATGAAAGTATGAAAATCTATCACATTCCCAAGAGAAATGTGATTTTCGTAGTAAAGCATCCCTTTCGTGCGCTCCAAACGATGAAAAAAAAATGATTTCGGTAATATTCCCTTCTTGTTCACGTTTTTTTGTAACCTGCCACTCCATACATCGTATCTCGAATATTATCTGTCAAACGTCATATGTTATACTTCATATGTCGAACGCCATATTTCATTGTCGAAATGTCAATTATGTATAGTACAGAGCATTATCCAATTTTTTCGTCCGATAACGACGACAGCGATCAATGTCCGGCAACCCTGTTGTCGCCTACTCTACCAGTGTTCTGGCGGTCGACGTCGACGGCGTGAATGCCGCCGCTGCTTAGCAAACATTCTACTCGTGAAGAATTCCATCTAGTGGTGTGACTGGTGTGGCTCGGGCTCTCAGTCTGTTGGCCAGGGTTTGATTTCCTGCGCACACACCGGCTCTCAAAACTACTAATTCTGAATATAAATTGGATCGAAATTACATCACGAGAAATAAATATAATGAATACATAACATCTAATATTTGAATTCGTCGCCGCCCCAATACAGAACGAATCCACAGCGACACTAGCGACACTACTAGCCAGTGAGTATTTTTGAAAGTTCTGTTTCAAAATCCTCGTTGACTCAACTACTTTGAATGGTTTCAACCCTTTGTCATCGCAGCAGTTTCTCATTTACACCCTTGAAATATGTTTTATGTGTGGTGTTGAATATCGCTCATATTGGAGATGTAGGTATTGTTTTTATAGGGTTTTTGGGGATTGTTTCTATGGTCAATCAGTTCATTGGGTGTGTTGAAATGATTTATTTCCACCACTAGCTCTTAAACCTACAATTATCATTTACTCCTCTCCGAGGCATGATGTGTGTTTCTACTACCGCAATAAGGTAGTTTTCGGCATTTTATGAACTACAATAGTCAATAAAAAAATAGCCACCTCTGTTGTAATTCACCTAAATCCACTGTTCTGATGTGAGAGTTATTGCAGGAATGGCACTCGAATCCTGTATATGTATTTATCAATTACGACTCTTCATATTATGTTGTCATGGTCATGATGGCCACTAGATTTCAATTAGAATTGGAAAGGGGTGCTTCCATAGTGACAATAGATCCATATTTCCGTTTCACAAAACTATAGTGAATAAAATATACTGCTATAGTGGTGAACAAAAGCCATATTATTCCAGGCAACCAGATGACGTTCCAGTGACGTCTTTTTTACGTCACTTGAATGACCAAGGTGACGTCAGTAGTTGACGTCGCATTGACGTGATGATAACGTGAATAAGTCACAGCCCAATGACGTCATATTACTCACGTCGTATTGACGTCATTCACTCACCAAACTGTGACGTCCATCTGACGTCAAAATGACGATTAAATTAGGCGATGATACGTAAAAAAGGTTCCTTTAACATGGTGTGATAAACACCACTGGCCTCTGATGACATTATACGATATTGATTATGCATTGTTGAGTCTGCTTGGTGGGTCCCTCCTGTGTCATGTTCATTCAATCGCCTATTCAGCAGCGCTATATCCTTCTGTACGCATCTCCATCAGAATGCAATCAGTTACTCGTATTTGTATAAAAAATTATGTAGTTTGTGTCGGCGAGATGCAAGCAAACAAAGAATAGTTTGATAGCAATGGAAAAGATGTTGGCGAATTTGGCTTCACTTTGTTGAATAATGTCCCAGCAAACATTCATTTGCGGTAAACTGAAGGCCCAATACATTGCTCCCATAACTAGATGTTGCGGCAAAATGACTAGCGTTGGTAAGGGGCCATCAAGAAAAGGACACTCTGGCCGACGGTTTCCCGACGGTCAATCAGCCGGCATTCATTCCATTGATGGGCCTTCAAATCCCCATACTGGCATAGGAACGAAGTATAAAAAATATCTCGACTTTGGATGATAAGATTGCGATCTGATAAGATCTTCATTTTGGAGGTTGACCTCATATATTTTCGTGACTTGGTAGCCCTGATGGTCCATTCACCAGGTGTCCTATCCATTCAGTCGTATTATTGCAACGGCTATATCGTTGGAATATCTCTATGAGAACATGACTAGCTACTCGTATTAGTATCTAAACTCATGTAGTGAGTATCGGTGAGATGTAAACGAATCGAAACGGATAAGAGAATATTTGAAACTGATATATTTTGTTGATAATATTTCAACTAATACTTTGATATTCTGAGAGAAATAATCCATTTTATCATTCCAATCGGATAATCTTGGATCACTCTAGGAAAATATACAGTATGTCTGAAAAACGTGACAATAAATTGAAAACTTTTTCATTATTAATTCTAGGAAAAAAAGTCATTCAACATAAAGACTTCTGCAAGGTCTAAAACCAAAAATGCAAATATCATATATCGATTTTTGTCAGTCGTATACGAGGTATGTCAAAAAAGTAGATTTTGTTCAAGTGTAAATAATGTACCGTTTTTATTTTCGATAATATCGAAAATTATTATCATATAATAAAGTTGACTAGAATTGAAAACTACGGAAAACTACGTTCAAATATCTGATAACATCTATTCACGATGAGAATCATGTATTATTATTTCTTACAATAGCTATTCATATGGCAAACTATTTTATTATTAATTTTGCGGAAAGAAGCATTTTTCATTAAACGTTCTTCAAAGTAGCAAATCAATAATGCAGATATCATACCTATACTCAACAATGGTTTGAGTCATATGTCAAAAAATCCCAAATTTCTGTAGATCATACTCACGACTTTATTGAAATGATCTTATGATCCAATAATTAATGCCATATTATGATTATTATCCTCAAATAGGAAAAAATTCAGTTTTTTGAGGAATATATGAATTCTTTCAGCGTTTTTTCTTTCGTATGATTGGGAGAATACACAATCACAATGACCATACTGTGTTATCTGGAGCAAATAGGTTGAATGCCCAGCATTGGCCTTTTTAAAGATTGACTAAACGGAGTTGTTTTATTTCCCGGCAACACCAAAGTCAATAAAACGATGAAGAGCCAATACTTATTTCCTTCACTGGCAAAGTGACTACAAGAATGTGAAAGGCCAACAGATTTTTGCTGCTGAAGTCATTCCCCCAGCAAAGAAAGCATTGGGCCAATAACTTTCCGGTAGTTCATTGTTTGTTGATTGATGCATTCTTTGTCAACCAACAAAAATCTAAATAGCAAATTATTGAAAGAATTTCTGAATGACGGAGCTCACCAAATTGGTACGTCACACCGACCTGATTTTTAGACGTCATAAATACGTCACTGCAACATCATAAGAGTAACGGTTTCAACATAGGAATACCTTAACAATCATTTGTATATACATAGCTTGTTGGCTTCCGAGATATATATATAGTGTGTCAAAGGTTTTTAGGAAAAAGTTTTCTCCTATACGTACTTTTCGGGTATCTTAATAATACCAATAAAACTTGCATGTTGATTTGCTTTCATGAGTTATATTTCTGTTTCACATGATGATATATAAGTATCCATGGGTAAAAGTAGGTCTGGAAAAAATGGACGTCGACAGGACGTCCCTGCAACATCATGAAACTGACGCTTTCTTTTACCCATGTAAGCAGTGACGTTGACTCGACGTCAAAACGATGACGTGATTATCACGTCATAAAAAGTACGTCATAATGACGTCCTAAATAGGTGTGTGACGTCTCTGACGAAAAATCATTCATCATCTGGTCGCCTGTGATATACACCTTGGTAGTAAAGCGAATATTATTATCATGGGACCTTAAACCCCACGGCTGAAGCCTCAGGATAAAATCTTGGTTCCTGGGTAATTCTGATATTCTATTGGTGTATAAATAGCTATTACTTTATTTCATCGCAGCAGATCTTTATAATACTCCAAAATATTTTTTTTGTAGTTGGTGGATTGAAAAAACAAACATGTTGTCCGCCACTGGGTCTTTGGCAATGTTCGGAGATTTTGGCAGCTATCTTTGGCTGCAATTTCACACAGCTATGTGAGCTGTCATGTGTCACAATGACAGTGACAATCTGACATCCCTTGCTGACATCTTAATATCATGTCACATGTCATATTATTATCCCTGTTTTATCAAAATTTACAAATGTATTTATGCTCGTCTTTGTTGAATTTGTTAATTTTGTTTCTTAGCGGTCATTCTATCAATTCTTGTTTATTTTTCGTTATACAATTCATCAATTGTGAATAAGCATTCCAAATAGATCAAGTGTCAAAACTAATTCTTCAATGAATATGATGGACCACAAGTTTGGTGAAATTCTATTTTATTTATGACATGTGTGTGTAAACTTCAAAACATTAGTATGTAATTTTTAAAAATCAAATTACCTACGTAGATCCTACCAAGTCACGATACCTATTCGTGCCAGTCATGGGTGCTAAACCTAGCACTGCAAATGGCACACAGAGCCCTCGAACAAGGGCCTTCTCAACAAGCAGCAGTTCTGAAGTAGTTACTGCCCCCGGATTCAGATTTATGAGATCTCTAGGGATGGATATGTCAAATGATAGACAGAGGGCTAGATCACTATCAAGTGTCCCAGACCTTCATGCTAGTCATGAGGCTCTTTCCATGCCTCCTACAGGAGTCAGCTTTGATATTTCAAGTGGTGCAAGTCCAGAGACAGACCATAGTCCTGCTGAAGAAGCTGCTAGTGTGTTGGGATCTGCTGCAGCTAATTTAGCACTTGGGAGAGTGTATGCTGCTCATTCCTTACCATCACATATTTGGTCCTTAAATGGTGAGTTTATATTATTCTTTTTCATTGTTCCTATGTACAGTTAGGTCAGTTATTGATCATATTTTGACCACCTTTCATTGAAATAGGTATGAGAATGTTAAATTAGTTGTGGAATGTGATTCTGGAATTAATAATAATCTCTTCGCCAAACAATTAACATAGATACAGCAAATGTCAGGGGTTACAGAACAATCTAAGCTACCTATTACCTTTACATCATCTTTTTACAATTTCATTCAAAATTCATCATTACATGTTGAAAAATTATACCTCTACATTTTCTGAGTACATTTATATTAAAAATACATCAGTGAGTTCCAGCCATGACTTCCCCAAATATTGCAAGAGCCTGCCATTCCACCAATGGCCAAGAAATTACTAAAACCTCCGAAAATATGTTGGTGGATGCAGTTATTCTCCATCAATGTATTCCTCTAAGGGTGCTTCATAATCTTTATATCTCTCAATATTTTGTAGGGTGAGAATTAACCCTGCAGGCCCCATTTTTTTGGAATTTCAAAAAAAATTATAACTTTTTCATAATATAAATCAATGGGAGTTTTTTTTCTGTGAATGTGTTCCTCTAATGGTACTTGATTATGTGTATATCTCACAATATTTTATCTGGCAAGAAGTCAATCATACAGACCCCCTTTTTTGGAATTTTGAAAAAAAAAATTTTTCAAAATACACATGGATGGGAGGTTAGGTTACAAAAGGGGGCCCGAGGGGGCCTGTGGGGTTAATTCTTGCCCAAAAAATTATAGTGAGATATACACATCATCAAGTACCATCAGGGGAACACATCGAGGGGTAAATCACTGAGCAAATTCGTGTACACCGGACTGCCATTCATACTCGGACTGCCAAGACTGCCACCGGACTGCCACGGACTGCCACGGACTGCCACCGGACTGCCACGGACTGCCACCGGACTGCCACGGACTGCCACCGGACTGCCACGGACTGCCACCGGACTGCCACGGACTGCCACCGGACTGCCACGGACTGCCACGGACTGCCACCGGACTGCCACGGACTGCCACCGGACTGCCACGGACTACCACCGGACTGCCACGGACTGCCACCGAAATGTAATAGACTATCACTCAATCATGTGTTCCAATCAAAATAAAGCTGTTTTTTGGAAATTTCAATTCACCACAATAACAAAGTTCACGAAAACCGTTCTGACTGAATAAGTACTAGAAATGCATCTCCGATTGTGATTAACATAGAAGAAATAAATCACCAACCGTGACCTACGATATGAAGATCTCATTGGAAACCTATGGCATAAGAAACTGATCCGGAAACTATAACATTCCTGTATATAACATAACATATCTCGTTAAATCTACATGAAATGAAGATATGGTGCAATAGGTGAAGTGGAAATACACGTCAATAGTACAGAAAGCCGATGTTTTTATTTTTTTGTCGATTCGCCTGATGAAAATTTTCAGCACAAAATTTTCGAGGTTGAACAATACGAATTTTGAGTGCATGTAAATTTGAAAATTGATATACTTATTTCGTTCATTCCGTTTGGAAGGTCAAATCAGGATTTGTCTTGGTTCGTTAATATCTCGGTAAATACGAATTTGGAATTGTATATTTGAGGATTTCAGATTTGCCCCAAAATGCCTCAAATGGAAACTCTGGCGGTTTAAAGTTTGAGATATCAGAATTCCGAGTTGAATATTCAAATTCAAACGATTTTGTCATTTCCTTATCAATTTGTCACAAAATCGTGATTGAAAAATACGCATTTTGAGTCGCATTTGGGAATTCAAGATGGCGTCCCATAAGATGGCGGACGATTTCAACATCCATTCTCTTTCGATTCGCCCGATTCAAAATCTACAGCGTTGACATCATTCTAGATGCCACACAGTGTGTTTATTGAAATGCATCTACTAAATATCAAGCTGAAATAATATCATGAGTACATTACAAAAATATTCATTATAGTGATTCCTATAGAACAAAAGTAAAAAAAGTAACAAAATCAATAGTAACAAAAACAAAAGTAACAAAATCAGAACTAACAAAATAAATATTTCATTAAGGATAATATAATATCAGTTAATAATACGAACAGTTTTGTTATCTCTTTCACAATGGGGATCTCACTAAGCATACCGAGAGGTGGAAATAGAGAGAGATTTACTACCTAGGACTAGACCTAGACACTCGCCTCGACACATTAAAATTGTGAAAGAGATCAAGGAAACCTCGAAAAAAACCGTATGGACTACTTAATACAAATAAAATTTGAAAATTAATTTTGAAAACATTCCAGAAATACTTGAGTTACAGGTCGATACATATATGGTGAATCAGATATGTACAAGGATTAAGGCAGGTATAGATAAACAAATTCTTAAACAGGTGAGATCTATTTTCCTATTGACATTTTGTGAATTCTTATTGGTTGAATACAGTATAAATACAAAATTGTTAATAAAAAGTAGTATCTTCTCTTATGCAGAAAGAATATTCTCCTTCTTCATATTATCTATATATCAGGTCGAGCTAGGTTAGATTGTTTAGAAAAATTAGTCTTCCTTCTTATGCAGAAAGAATATTTTTCTTCCTCATATTATACAGGGTGTTAACAAATAAGTGTCACAACGGAAAACTGTAGATTGCTCATTAAAAAAGAAACATTTTTTCCCTTTCGAAATTTGTCTCCGGGCTTCCGTTATCAAGATACAGGGCGTCAAAAAAATACAAAAAAATCTGTTTTTTGCTACTATCTCAGGAACCGTCTGAGCTACGGAGTTGAGCCTTCGTACATACTTCATCATCAATAATGACTACTTTTAGGGCTCTTAATCAATTTCCGTGGACATGTCTGTGGAGGAGAATTCAACGCCTCGTAAGGGTTTAACCCCCCAAACATTTATGCCACTGGAGAAATTGTAATTTCCGAAGTAGATTCTGAAACGCCAATATTTTTCACACAAAAAACGTCCTCTTGTCTCAATGCTCTAAAGTCAATAGTTTCCGAGAAAAATGGATCTTTATGAATAAAAACATACAAAATCCTGATGGTATCTCCAAAAATCGTCTAAAAATCCACTGGAAATAAATACCTCAGAACTGTCTAATAATATGTTGAATCAAATTTCAGGTTCTTGAGTATGCTGGTCTCGATGCTGGTTTTAGATTTGTTAAGTTTATTAAGTGTTGTAAAGTGTGTTTAATTAATCTGAACATTTTTGATTTCTTGACGCCCTGTATCTTGAAAACGAAAGCCCGGAGAAAAATTTTGAAGAGGAAATAAATGTTTCTATCATCATCAGGAATCTACAGTTTTCCGTTGTGACACTTATTTGTTAACACCCTGTATATCATGCCGAGTTAGGTTAGGTTGTTTGCAAAAAGAAGCCTCCTTCCTTTTTCGGAAATGATTATATTTTATGTCCTAGAATGAGTTCAAAACATATGAAACTTGATAAAACTACCGTTTTATATGTTTCCTACTTTGCGCGCAATTACAGCATACCTTTTTTGGGACGTGCGTGTAATTGCACTATGGGATAAGGAAGAGGATTAGGACCGAGATTAGGACACACTGTTGAGAATACTGACCGCTGCGCGCAATTGCAGTATGCCCATAATACACTAAATTTGCGTGGGTATCAACTCTGGAGCTTGAGATCCCTAAGGTGAACTTTTTTTATTCAGGCGATTCGGACAATAGATGACAAAGTTTTCCGTCCCATTGTAGGCGCCATCTAGAATTTAAAAACTAACTAAAAAATTATGATTACTCCAAGAATAACTGATTTCTTTTCCCCATTATAGGAATTAACTTTCATGCGCTCCAAGAGATGAAAAAAAACTGACGCCTCCCTACAGAAGCCATCTTGTTTTTTAAAATTGCCAATCTCGAGAACCCCTACGTGTACATTTTCAGGTAAATCAGAGAATTAATAACAAAGTCGTCGCCACCTTGCGAACGCCCTCTTGAATTTTCAAATTTAGAATTCAGTTTGTGATAATTGTCGGATTACGAGAGACGAAACGAGAGACCACCAGACTGCCACCGGACTACCACCGGACTGCCACCGGACTGCCACCGGACTGCCACCGGACTGCCACGGACTGCCACGGACTGCCACCGGACTGCCACGGACTGCCACCGGACTGCCACGGACTGCCACGGACTGCCACCGGACTGCCACGGACTGCCACCGGACTGCCACGGACTGCCACCGGACTGCCACGGACTGCCAAAAGAATGTACACCGGACTGCCCCAGTGATTTACCCCTCGGAACACATTCATAAAAAAAACTCCCATCCACTTGTATTATTCTGAAAAAGGAGCCCTGTGGGGTTAATTCTTGCCCGACAAATTATTGTGAGATACACACATCATCAAGTACCATCAGAGGAACACATTAATGAAAAAACTCCCATCCAGGTGTATTTTGAAAAAGTTATGATTTTTTTTTTTTTGAATTATCAAGAAAGGGAGCCTATGGGGTTGATTCTCGCCCAACAAATTATTGTGAAATATACATATCATCAAGTATTATCAAAGGAACACATTCATTGAAAAAAACTCCCATCCACATCAGGGATGACCTATACTGATATTTATATCAACCTATCAGTGATATCAACCTCATTGGCCGATTATCGTATCGGCCGATGTCAAAAACTGATAGACTGATATATTTTTTTATTGGGAAAAAATCAATTTGAAGAATGAATGAAAAAAAATACACTCCCATCAAAAATATATCTTTAATACCAATAAAAAGTATGTAACATAAAATCAACTAAATTCTTTGACTAGTAATTGAAAATTGATAAAATAAAACCCTATGCGGATTGCAACTGTAAGGTAAAATTATTTCACCATACTAAAATACAAAAATAACTGATTAATACTGATAATTTAGTTTTGGTAGGTTGTGATGCAAAAACAATAAGCTTTCTGCCCTATCAGCAGTTAGCCTGCTACGTTTTGCATCATAAATA